CAGCCTTAACCTGATGGACTCCGGCGATCCTTCCGCCTCAGCCTTCCAAGTAGCCGGAAATTCAGGCGAGCACTACCATGCCCGGGTAATTTTTTGATGTATTGTAGAGATGAGGTCTCGCCAAGTTGCCCAGGCGGGTCTCGAACCCGCAGGCTCAGGCAATCCACTCACTTCAGCCTCCCAAAGTGCTGGGATTACAGACTGAGCCACGGAGCCCGGGTTCGCTCTGGATTTTAACCTCTGCCAAAAGTGATTATGCTGTGGTTAGTGTGGATGGGCGTTGCTGACAAAATGGGAGGTCTTTATCTTTGTACACCTCCAGCAGAGTCTGGGTGCTTGATGGATGTGTGGGTTGTTCTTGAGGGTTCGTCTGCTTTTTCAATTCCATTCCTGTTATTTTAATGGCATGTCAGGGAGGAGCAGAGAAGTGTGTAAAGTCAGTGATCTTTAAAACAATGAAAACAAGGAGAAACTGCTTGGGTGGAATATGTGAAATCAGCAACTGACAGCCACTCCTGCACTGGGAGAAGAGTTGTGTTTTGTGTCAAACAGGGTCTTGCCCTGTCACTCAGGCTGGAGTGCAGTGATGATGGCTCACTGCAACCTTAAGCTGCTGATCTCACGTGATCCTTCCAAAGTGCCAGGATTATAGGCATGAGCCAGCTTACCTGGCCAAAAGCAGTGTTTTTTCATGTCAACTGATAGTGTAGATATATATTACTGAGATGAGGGAAGCGACACACCACCCTTTGGTTTAAGAAATTTCCCATCTGCTGAGCGGTAGCTCATACCTGTAATCCCAGCACTTTGGGAGGTGGAAGCGAGAGAATTGCCTGAGTTCATGGGATTGAGACCAGCCTGAGCAACATGGTGAGACCTTGTCTACAATAAATCCAAAAATAGGCTGGGTGTGGTTCTAGCTTACTTGTAAGACAAGCGGAAGGATCACTTGACCCCAGCAGGTCGAGGCTGTGGTGGTTGTGAGCACACCACTGCACTCCAGCCTGAGTGACAGAGTAAGACTCCTCAAAAAAAAAAAAAAAAAAAAGGGAACTGGGCTGGGTGGCTCAGCCTGTAATCCCGTGCCTTGGGAGACTGAGGTGAGTGGATTGCCGGAGCCCGTGGGTTCGAGATCTGCCTGGGCAACTTGGCAAGACCTCATCTCTACAGTAAGTCAAAAATTAGCTGGACGTGGTAGCGTGCGTCTGTAGTTCCAGCTACTTGGAAGGCTGAGGTGAAAGGATCGCCGGAGCCCAGCAGGTCGAGGCTGCGGTGGCCAGAAGCAGCCACTGCACTCCAGTCTGGGTGACAGAGTGAGACTCCAATTCAAAAAAAAAAATGGTGATGTGTTACTTGTGGATTAAGTCACTTCGTTTTTTTTTTCCATTTTATAGAAGAGGAGTACCAGGAGGTAGTACAAGTGGCAGTCAGGCAGTTGGGCTTTCGAAAAGCCCAGGCTCTTACTGCCATGTTAGGCTGCCACAAATCTGCCCAAGAGGCCCCATCTCTGCCCTATCTATGGCTCTTAGTTAGGGCTTAGGGTGGTCCACTTGGGGGAAAGCATAGGTCTATGTGACTCACAATAATCACCTGATCCAGCCTGGAGGCTCCCTAGGCAAGATGTTTGAACCAGAATCTATGAACAATGGGAGGTCACCTGGGAGATTGTGTCTGTGTCAGTAACTTAATTTTCAGATGTTTGAACATCTGGCTTGGGAGCTAATCTGGGGACATTGCAGGGACCACAACCCACCTCCCTTCCAAGGAGTCACAGACAGTGAAAGAATTGCAGCTGTTGCTGGAGTGGAAGGAGTTGGGTCAGGATAGAATCCTCACTTAACATCTTGGATAGGTTCTGGAAAGCCAACTTCAAGTGTAATTTGGTTTGTTTTTTTTTAGAGTGAGAGTCTCACTCTGTTGTCCAAGCTGGAGTGCAGTGGCATGCTCATGGCCACCATAGCCTCAATCTGGGCTCAGGTGATCCTTGTGCCTCAGCCTTCCAAGTAATGAACTACATGCGCTTACTACCATGCCCAGCTTATATTATTATTATTATTATTTTTTTGAGTGGAAGTCTCACTCTGTTACCCAGGGTGGAGTGCAGTGGCACGCTCCCAGCCACTGCATCCTCGACCTGCTGGGCTCCGGCAGTCCTTTCGCCACAGCCTTCCAAGTAGCCGGAATTACAGGCATGCGCCACCACGCCCGGCTGATTTTTTGATTTATTGTAGAGATGAGGTCTCGCTGCCCAGGCGGGTCTCGAACCCGTGGGCTCAGGCAATCCACTCTCACCTCAGCCTCCCAAAGCACAGGATTACAGGTTCAGCCACCGAGCCCAGCTCCAGCTTATATTTTGATTTATCGTAGAGACAAGATCTCACCAAGTTACCCAGGCTGGACTCAAATCCCTGAGCTCAGGCAATCCTCTTGCCTTGGCTTCCCAAGGTGCTGGGATTACAGGCTTGAGGCACCGCACCCAGCTCAAGTGAAATTTGAACAGCAGATCCTCAAGTAACAGTTACTTCCATCATTGATTTTGTTATCATGAGAGAAAAAAAAAACCAGCTTCATTATTTTTTTTTCTTAGCCAGAATCTCACTTTGTCTCCCAGGCTGGAGCGCAGTGGCATGCTATTCATGGCCATCGCAGCCTCGACCTGCTGGGTTCAGACGATCCTCCCGCCTCAGCCTTTCAAGTGCAGTTTACATTTATTGATAAGTGAGAACTTGCTGTAGGTAAATAGGTAACGATTCCTAGGAAGCTCATGAGCTTTCCTGTTGTGGGTGGTGATTTCCTCCATATCAGCCTTTGCAGCCAATTGGAGTACTGCACTTGAACGAACGGTAATTGAGTGAGAAAGCTTCAGAGCTTGAGATTTTCTGTCCACTTGCCCTTTGTGTATCTGTGTGCTCTACTCCATACAGCAGCAACACTTCAGGTCCTCAGGAGCCATGTGTGTGGCTAGCTCTACAGATGATGCATGTTTCCTTCCATAATTGAGGAACGTCGCATGAGACAGACAGCACCGACATGAGACATAAAGGAATGCGGTTCAGTAAGCACTGACTCAGTGCCCAGCTAGGCTTGGTTGGATGTGTCAACGTCCCCATGTTTTGAGATGAGAAAACACTACCCTGACAGCAGAAGACCATCCTGCAGCTCACCAGGTTTTGCACTGGAGCTGGGGTTGGGTGAACTGGTTTTAGCTGGCATTAACCTAAGTGTCAAAGAGAGCAGTGGACACCACTCTAATGAATCTGATTTAACTGTAGCTCTAAAGAAGATTGGGCTCCTAACTGGTGGGCCAGCAGGAAAGATATTCCTGAGGAGGCAGTGGAATTGGGGCCATGAAGCAGAGGTAGGAGTTGCACAGGAGGGAGGAATGAAATTCAGATTAAAAAAAATTCAAACCGGGCTCAGTGGCTCAGCCTGTAATCCCACGCCTTTGGGAGACTGAGGTGAGTGGATTGCCTGAGCCCGCGGGTTCGAGACCCGCCTGGGCAACTTGGTGAGATCACATCTCTGC